TAGCGATCTAGTACTAGTATAGACATCTGTGGGTGCGTTATGTTACTTGGAGTTCGAAATGGTACCAATGGTTAACAGTGATTTTTCAATCAAAATTTTATGTAGTTTATGCTATACATTTCATGATCTAACGTAAATAACGCCGTTGACATAAAATTTGTACGGAATTTTAGTTATAGTTAATTGAAGTGTGATATTAATTGTCAAGCAATAACGTGAAAATGGGACGCCGTTCAATCAACACTACAAAGAGTGGAAAATACATGAATCCTACCGATCAAGCACGTTAGTACTCGAAAACATAACCAAGCGTTTGTTCAAATACTTTTAGTAATTCGAAAGATATAGAATGTGAAGTATTTATTTTTTATTACAGGAAAAGAAGCACGTAAAAAGGAACTAAAAAAGAACAAAAAGCAACGACAATTAGTAAGAGCGGCCGTTTTGAAAGGAAAAGATCCAGCGCAGATTATCGAAGAAATGGAGAAAATTGATCAGATGGGTTAGTGAAAAGAATATGTTTTGATGTTAAAGCACAACATTACATGTAACTGTGTTTTGAACTCTTTTTTCAGAATACAATGTAATGCAACCACCTCCCCTGAACGAGAAAGTATTGAAGGACAAACGAAAGAAACTTAAGGAGACTTTAGATCGTGTCTTAAAAATGTATGTAAGTATGTAAATAGCATGATTGTAAATTTCCTTCAATAAAGTATTGGTAAGGTTGTGACAAAGTTAATGATTGACTTGTGATGCAACATAATTGATATATCGGTCCTTTATCTTTTAGGCGAAAGATGATCAAGAAAAATGGGCGGAATTGAAAGAGCAATTGATTCAATATGAACGTAGAAGGATAGATTTGGTTTCTTATTTTGAAGCTGTGCGACACGCACAGCAAGTACAAGTTGATGAAATTCCATTGCCATCAGCAGCCAATGATATATCTAGGATGTATCCAGGTAAACACGATAAGTGTAAATATTACTATAAAAGATATAGTTGTATTATAACTAATGCATATTTTTTTTTTACAGGATCTTTGACATCTCAGATTCCATTGCCAGATATGCCGCAACCACCTGCACATATGTATCCACCTCATCCTCATTATATATCGCAACATCATCCTTTGATAAATATACCAATACCACCAAGCATTTTAAAGAAGACCAGTGCATATGCAACTTCTCCATCGATGCCTACATTAGCACCTAATAAGGAGCCACCTGGTGTACCACCATTTCCACCTCCTGATCTTTCGAGCGACGATGAGGATGTAGCTGAAAGTGTGAGTAAAACATTATTTAAATTAACAACTACCAACTGTAAAATAGATTCAAATAATTTTCATCTTTAATACACAATATCCATGTATTGAATAGGTTAAGGATCCTCCAGCAAAATCGAGAACGATAAGATTCGCCGATGATAAGGAGGATGGCAAACAAGAGTCTGAAAATAAGGAGAAAGACTTGGAGAAAGAGAAAGAAAAGGATAGAGATATGGCGAAAGTAAAGCCAACTACACTGCAACAGAAAATGTTGGCAATGGCAGGACAAGATATTGATCAATTTATGCGAGAGATGGAAGTCGTCCATAAGAAGAGAGAGACAGAGCGTGCTCAGGATCTTAATGCGCGACTATCGCTTCTCGAGGCAGAAAACGAATCCAATGCTAAATCTAGTAACAACAAATCCAGTAATAAGGGAGATGATGAAGAACTGGAACCACCAGGAGCATCGGACCATCTCTCCGGACATGGACAGCACACATCTCATCCTCATACGCAGCATACACAACAACATGCCATGCCACCGATGGGCATACCACCTCCATCTTTACTTTATCGACCACCACCACCACCGTTACATCTGAGAATGCCACCACCTCCACCACCTCGTATCGGACTCCGATTACCGCCTGGTGAGCCACTATATATATATATATATATAAAATTCTTTCTGGCACTTTAAATTTTTAATTTTTCAAATATATAACATTCAATAGAAATTTGATGAATTTAAAATGTAAAACTAACTAATGTAAGTGTACTCGTTCCTATACAACAGAAATAACATAATTATTTTACAGGTCCTCCACCTGGAATACCGAGAATATTAAGACCCGGCCCTCCAAACATACCTCGAATGCCACCGCCACAAATGCAAATATCAAATATGTCGAACATAGCAAATTCCCAAATGCAAACGCAGTCTGGAACAACTGCACAGCCCAAAACGCCCAATGTCCTTTCTGCTGCGCCGCAACTAATTAACAGAAAGGACAAAGATGGAAAAAGTACAACTACTATCGAGGCCAAACCGCAAATTAGGAATCTAGCTGCTGATGTTACTAGATTTTTACCAACATCTTTGCGTGTAAAAAGAGACGATAAGAAGAAATCCAGCAGTATCTCCAGAATTACGGAAAGGTTACCGGAAGCGCAACCACTTAGAACTGCACAACCTAAGACAAAAGACGACGCATACATGCAATTTATGCAAGAAATGGAAGGATTACTTTGAATTTGGAAGAATGTATGCTTTACTTAAATGGAATATTATTATTATAAGCATTCTGTTCAATATACACAGTGTGTGATTAAGAACATTTTTTGTTATTATTTAATAACATATGGACAATTGTGTATTTTTTTCAATATATAAATAGATGCGAATGGACTTATACAAAATTATAATTTATCAGCTTGGATAAACAAAATTTGGCCAAGCTTTATCATTTTTTAAATTATTTTTAGAAATGACGAATAGAAAATATAACAATTATAAATTTTAATCTGTTTTTTGAACTTTTTCTTTAAGCTAGTTCTTCCTTAAGAAAGTAATTTTATTCTTTATAAGTTTTATCTTGTTAATCTTGTCATAAGTGTTTGAATTTCTTCAATTAACAGGACAATTGTATTTGATAAAAAATTGAAGCCTACGATTAAGATAAAAATAATCATATTGTCAAAAATGATTTAATCATTTCAATAAAAGTAATAAATCAAAGCTCATCTAGTTAAAAAATAATGAATCTCTTGTCATGCCACTTATGTGGATCAGATGAAAAATCAATTAAAAACTAAAATCTGTGAATCATTGCGTAGACATTGATAAAAAATCTGAATCTCCTGTGATTTCCAGTCATCGATTGGATTCCAATCAGTGATGCAAACTCGAGCCGGCCAGCACCAGGGCTCCGTGGTAGGAAAAGCATGCACACAAGCGAGAATTGTTACGTCACACGTACGTGTGCGCACACATGCTTTTCCTACCACGGAGCCCTGGTGCTGGCCGGCTCGAGTTTGCATCACTGATTCCAATCTAATTCAATTGAGTGACTCGCTTCACTGCTCACTGTGATTGGTCAATTTTTTAAGCGGTATTCCCTCCCTCATGCTGCTTGCTGCTTGTGTCTCAGATCTGGCGTCACTAATCATAAGTTCGACTGGGATCATGATTAAAATTTTGGACAAAGAACAATCTTACAGCAAGAGAATCAAATGTGCCGCGCTTCAGAACTAATATGGCGAACTTGTCATTTCATAAAGCAACGTCATTTCCTTAGCCTGTTCAATACGGCGAGTTGACACGATTTCCGGTTTAACGCTACCACAAGTAACGTACATTAGGATCAAGTTATCTTAGCCGCGCGTGTACAGCCGTGTATAGTTAATAATTCTATGAAACAAACGTATTGATTCATACATTTTGTTACCTTTTACGGTTATTTTGCAATTTTTTCTTATACTCAATTGCATCTCAAACCGAATGCTTCAACTTGTTGGTTGAACCGGAACTTTAAAGCAGAACAACTCGGAGCAACTGTAGCTCTAAGATGTATACACGAAGCAAACAAAATCAGGGCTACGGAAATGGTAAGACTTTTTAGACAGATGTAGAATACCGTGTAAGGATTTCAGTTTGATGTTATATCGTACTGTCGATAATGCAATATTATATAAAACACAATAAGTAAAAAGTATTTTCCACAAGAAAAAAAAATCGATAACACATTGATAAAGAATGGCGGTGTTTGCCTTGAGTTTCATTTTATGATATGCAGCACTATTTACAAATTGTGATGACGCAATGCACAATTAAAGTATTGTGCTGAAAAATTCACTAATTTTATTAATTTCAAGCATATTTGGTTAATATCTGTATAGAAGACTTTCGTCTTATTCATACATTATATATTTTTATAATACATTAATAAATCATATTCTATATTGCAGCACGAAACCCAAACAGTCCCCAAATTCAAGGATCTTACATGATGCCTGTAAGTCTTCTGTTTTTTCTTAATATCTATAATATCTATGATTTTAGATATATATGATTATGTAGATATAGTAATATCTTGATATACAATCTCTTATAGATGAGAAGTTATATAAATTATAGAATGGACAAGACAATTATTAATGCAAACTTAAAGATAGTTTTAAAATACAATATGGTTAAGATTACTAAATACAATACTTTTGACTTGAAATTATTTTACTCCGTATTAGATTTAAAAATAATTATTTCTTTTGAAGAAAATAAAAATAATTTTACATAAGTAAAAATTTTACATAAGTAAAAATAAAATAGAATTAAAGAAGACATTACTGTTAAAACGAACTCCAATTATATATTTTGGACAAAATAAGGCAAATGTTTTAAGAATTCCAGAAAAAATATAAAAAGTTTAGAATAATTTAGATTAATCTTTCTACATGAATTTTAGAAAAAAAGCTTTTATCATTCTTTCGAGGAATATATTAAGATTGATTTGATAATGCTTATAAAAATAAGGTTTGACTTAAAAATTACTAGTCACAAGATTTAAGGAACAAAGCAATGTTGAAAGCAAAATGAATTAAATATATATAATTATGATGTTAGAGATATCCAGTAAAACAAAAGAGAAAAGAACCAGTAACAGCATTAATCGCAGGTGATGTTGCATATTAGTTATAAGATGTTGCAAGATTTTAAAATAGTTGATTATGAACAAATTTATTTATATATTTTAATCTGTTTTTTTTACTTCTCCAGTGATTCAATGTTTCCTACAATGTTTATAATAACAGTTATTTAGTCATAAATTTATTTTGAAATAAAATTGAAACTTTATATTAATTTATATTGATACAAATTTTTAAATCATTATTTAAAATTTAGTAAGAAAAATGTTTTTAATGTCATTTTTGTACTTAAATAAAACTATAATATGTTTCGAATAATAAGCATTTTCAAGTAACGATTTAATATATTGATTGCGTGAGATTGATCAATGCAACAATAATATAGTAGTTTTTATTCGTAATCCAAATATGAATTCCATTTGCTGTCAGCAAGATTATTCCACTTGCATGTACTAATTAGTGGTTCCTACTTTCCCCTCCCCTGCAATGCAGGTACTAGTAGCTATACAACCATACCGAGGAGGTGCATTCGACCAGGGACTAGGTCGTCGGTTACCCACATAGCATACCTTACCGTAGGCCGCTTTCTCGATAGTTTTCTGTTGAATTCATATTTAAACAAATTGTAGATATGCTACATCACTGTAAGCATTCTACTTGCTCCACCAAATGCATGTCTTTAAATCGAAGAAGAGATCAAATTTTATGATTTTTGTTCACGTAAACAGATTGATTTCAAAACTAATAATATTATTATTAGCGATTTTATTGATATTAATCTCTTTTGTTCTGTAAACTACATTTTAGATCGTACAATTAACATATGCAACAAAAAAACATAAATTTTTGTTTCATTTTTCTATAAACGTTTATTATATCAAATACTGTTTATTAATTTAGAATATTTTTAATTTATAAATAAAGTTCTAAATAAAGACGTTGTTGGCCACAGTGAAAGTAACATGGTTGGTATGAGCTATAGGGGTAGCATTTAATTGTTCTGACATACGATGCTAGACCTTGGTAGGGTAGCACAACCGTAGAGGTTCCTTGTGTAGCGGCGACCCACCCTATGTTTTACAGTATAATACACAAGGAAGTTACCAAGCATCACAATCTACATCCATTCAACAAAGCAATTACAATCAAGGCAATGTACAAAACTCACAAGGCTTCAAATCGCAGCAACAGAAGCAACAGCCACCACAAATGCCAGCAGCTGCCTCAACACGTCCTTTACCAACTATAGCACCAACGCAACAATTAAAAACACAAGTGGCCCAGCAACAGCAAGGACAGCAGCAAAAATCCCAATTACAACAACAACAGCAGCAGCAAAAATCACAACTGCAGCAACAGCCATCGTCACAAATGCAGCAGCAGCCATCGTCACAAATGCAGCAACAGCAGCAGCAGCAGCAGCAGCAGCAGCAGCAGCAGCAGCAGCAGTTACAACATCAGCAGCAGCAACAGGCGGCAAATCCACCAGCTCCATTAATGCAACGATTAAAACCAATTCTAAAGCAAAGTGCATCGTCAACTGCCGGACAGCCACCTTCAACCGTTTCTCAAACTACGTCTGTGACTTCTCAATCTTGTGTGCCTCCTGCATTACCAACTCCAACTTCTACTAATAATAATTCTGATGTTAAAAGTGACACTATAAAGATTGAGAATACAGACATTGAAATGCTAGACATTCAACCAAGGTGGCGAAGAAAGCCAACTGGATGTAAGTGCTTCAAATTAATTATGCGTATCGTATAAAGATATACATTTTTGTATATTTATTTCTAGAATTGTAATTTGGATATTGAAAGTAATAATCTTGATAATGCAAAGTTAATGCATTATCATATATTAAAAATTTAAAAGATAAGTCAAAGAGAATATATCTAATAATGCTCTAATTGAACTAATTAAAAGTTACAAATTCAATCATACTCTGATAATTGTTCAACAGTAATATGAATAAAAATAATTCGTGCATAGATTTTTATTTACAAAATTAATGTAATATTCAAAAACATGTTCCAAAACAAACTTTAAAAATGTAGTTATTATAAAGTTTATTACTAAAAAAAATGAAAATCATAACAGTATTCATTACTTGTACTGTAATATGAGATTAGAGTTCTTTTTTCTTTTTTTTTTTTGTGATGACACCTCACTGCGCAAATTTGAAGATTCAGAAACGTTGAGTGCTCTGGTATTAAATCGCTTGAGCTTTGACTTTCTTGCAATCAATGTGAATTTCTCTACTGACATACATAATAAATTTTCAATTATTTAACACCGCTATATTTACGTATCTAATATAATCATTTTTGTAGTTAAAGTAAACAAAAAATTGAAACGTCTTCGTATGAACCAACGTTTAAGGAAAACTTTGCAACCTAAGAACGCAATTATGGTATTAAATGAGATGAAGGCTGGGGTTCAATTTACATTTCCTGAAACACAGGGAGCCATGTCAAACTCACTTTATCTCGTTCATGCAGAGGTAACGCTATAGATCAGTTTTACGCAATGTATCATTGTTTTTCCATAGTTTTAATTAAAATTCTAAATTACTAATTTCTACAATGCGTATCATTGTATATTCAATTGTAATATTCAATAATACAATAATTATATGTAAAATGTTGGATTTAAAATGCTTTAACATACCATTGCAGCTTGATGGTAAAACTTATGTTGGACAAGGACTGTCCAAACCACTTGCTCGCCAAAATGCGGCTGAAAATGCGTTGAAAGCTCTATTACTTGAAAAAATGACAGCAGCGTCTATGAAAGCGCGCATAGATGCTGAATCCGATGGACAAGCTAATGTATCTTCAGAAGGAGAGACAAAAGAAGAAAATAATGATGATTGCACTGTTATGGACACAAATGCTGAAGACGAAATTCCATGGAGTTCATTGGCTAGTTTCGCACTTTATAAACTTTTCCTCGAATGGCATAATCAAGGAACATCAGTTCCAGTTCCACGGCCTGGACTACCAGCTACAAAGGGAGCGAAAAAAGATAATCCTAATGCACCCAGAACTCCTGTTCAGAAGGAACTTCCACCTAATCCTACAAATATACATCCAGTTATGTTGCTGAATCAAATAAGACCCGGGCTTGTATATGTAGAACTCAGCCGTGTTGGTAATCCACCAAATACAATGTTTACTCTGGCTGTTGAAATTGACGGAGTTGAATATTCAGGAACAGGTACAGTATGAACTTCGTGTAATCTATATCTAATATCGTCTATATGTATTATTGCAAATGTTTGCGCATTATTATAGATATATGATTAAAATAAAAATTGTTTTGCTCTAGCTAAAAACAAAAAGGATGCCAAGAAGGCGGCAGCTAAGGTAGCACTGTTAGCATTATACGGTTTAACGTATC